TAATCGTTAATCACACAAGCCCATCATGAAGCGATGCTGAGAAGAACCCTCAGGAATAGCCCATCGCGTTCACAACATGTGTGTGATATTGTTCACAAAGATCTGGTAAGGTGTTATCCATTTATGCATATATTTGAATTATTGTTATACTAATGCATGATATTACTTGTAGTCTTCTGCAAACATTCTTATTCAAGGAGGCATGGCAAAGATAGCTGAGTTTGGTTTGTCCAGAATGCTAAAAGAAACTGTCTCTACATCAAAAGGTGAAGGCAATATAGCATATATTGATTCAGTCACTTTTGAAAATGAATCATTTAGACAAGGAAAAGAGTCAGATATCTTTAGTCTTGGAGTGATTTTATGGGAAATATCTAGTGGGAAACATCAATGTGAAAAATGTACTCAAAGTTTTGAAATTTTTAAGTATAGATTGAAAGGCTTGAGAGATCCTCCTTCTCCAGAAGCACCAAAGAAGTACATTGAACTATATTCCAATGTTGGGACAATGATCCCAATAAAAGACCATCAAGTGAAAAAGTATACAAGCAGTTGAAGATCATGATGATAATGAGCCATCAATTTCATGTAAAACCTTGAACTTGAGTCATTATAGTTTGAGGGATACAGACATAAGTGATTTGGCAAAGGCTCTAGAATCAAATTTTTTTCTGACTTCTTTGGATCTTAGTGTTAATCAGATTGGAGACATAGGAGCAGTGGCTTTGGCAAAGGCTCTAGAATCAAATTCTTCTCTGACTTCTTTAGATTTAGTTGATAATTATATTGGAGAAACAGGAGCAGCAGCTTTGGCAAGGGCTCTAGAATCAAATTCTTCTTTGACTTCTTTAGATTTAGTTGATAATCAGATTGGAGACAAAGAAGCAGCAGCTTTGGCAAAGGCTCTAGAATCAAATTCTTGTCTAACCTCTTTAAATCTTCAGATTGGAGAAACAGGAGCAGCAGCTTTGGCAAAGGTTCTAGAATCAAACTCTTCTCTGACTTCTTTAGATTTAATTGCTAATTATATTGGAGAAACAGGAGTAGCAGCTTTGGCAAAGACTCTAGAATCAAATTCTTATCTGACTTCTTTAAATCTTGGGTATAATCAGGTTGGAGAAACAGGAGCAACAGCTTTGGCAAAGGCTCTAGAATCAAATTCTTCTTTGACTGGTCTGAATCTACATAATAATCAGATTGGAGACACAGGTGCAGCAGTTTTGGCAGAGGCTCTAGAATTGAATCATTTTTTGACTTCATTAGTATTATATGATAATCAGATTGGAGAAACAGGAGTGGCAGTTTTGGCAAAGGCTCTGGAATCAAATTCTTCTCTGACTTCTTTAAATCTTGGGTATAATCAGGTTGGAGAAACAGCAGCAGCAGCTTTGGCAAAGGCTCTAGAATCAAATTCTTCTCTGGCTTCTTTAAATCTTAGATGTAATCAGATTGGAGAAACAGGAGCAGCAGCTTTGGCAAAGGCTCTAGAATCAAATTCTTCTCTGGCTTCTTTAAATCTCAGATATAATTATATTGGAGAAGCAGGAGTAACAGTTTTGGCAAAGGCTCTAGTATCAAATACTTCTCTGATCTCTTTAAATCTTAGATGTAATCAGATTGGAGAAACAGGAGCAGCAGCTTTGGCAAATGCTCTAGAATCAAATTCTTCTCTGACTTCTTTAAATCTCAAATATTGTCAGATTGGAGAAAAAAGCACAGCAGTTTTGGCAAAGGCTCTAGAATCTAATTCTTCCCTGACCTCTTTAAATCTCAAATCTTGTCAGATTAGAGAAAAAGGAGCAAGCAGTTTTGGCAAAGGCTCTAGTATCAAATTCTTCACCATTGACCTCTTTAAATCTGAAATAATTATATGGCAAACACAAGCAGCTTTGACAAAGGTCCTAGTATCAAATTCTCTCTAATTGGTTATAATAATAGAAGTAGGATAGTATGAGGAGGTAGAAAGTCTTGGTTTTTATTTTATGACAGTCAAACTTGTTATACAAAAGTTTAGCCTAAAATTAAGCCAATATTTATTATAATAATGACAGACTTATATATCATACCTTCTGGAAAAACTGATTAGCAAGAGAACTGACTTATTATCATCAAAAGCCATGTTTTAAATATTTTATTTATTGTAATATATTAATATTATTGAATATAAAAATAAATGATAATTTATGAAATAATTTATTTCTAAATGATAATAAAGATACATTTAATTTTGTATTGAAGAAGCCATTTGCTTTCTATCTTAAGTCTTTTAAAGCCTAAAGTGGGCAAACCGTCTACCTTCTGTCACAAATAATTGTGTAACTTTTGATTGCTTCTAAGGCAGCTTTAGTAAATATCATGAAGTGTCTTCGGCATTGATATTCAAATCCAACACTATACTGCCATACAAAATGCGGCGTTAAATTTGCGCCTTGACAATAAAAAATTAAGTTCTATGAATGCCATCTAGATTTTCATCGTTGCAAGGTGTGTTGTGTTGTGTTGTGTTCCGGTGTTATAATATTGTAATGTTACAAGACGTTGAGCTGTAATAATTCAATGCTACGATTACGTAGTATAATTAATTAAAGTTGTCGTCTACTATTATTAAAATTACTAGGAACGAGTATGCGGCTAAACACAAGAACTCTTCTCGTCATCGCTTCATGATGGCCTGTGTGGTTAAACAGTTGTACGAATCATATTTGTATTAGCCGCTACGTATATTAAACGCCATGCTAAAGCACATTATTCCCGATACCATGTATTTCTTCTAAGATTCACCCAACGAGCGTGGAGGTTCGTAACAATTCTTAGACACCTGAATTAAAGGATTGTATGTTGTTCAGAAATCCTACTGGTACAGCAATAATTGGGTAGAATTAGGAACTGGCAGAAGAATATAAACGGGTGCGCCAAGATCACTACGGGAATATAGAATTACAATGGCATATGAACTAAGCGATGATCCAATCGAAATGCTGATAGAATGCTAACGGAGTGCTATTTTGACGCTCGTATTTGTAATTCTACTGTGACCAAAGATTTTACCATGTGACTTGTATATCCATATGCATTAATATTAATGCAATAATAATAATAAATGGTTTTACGCTGTTTAATTGTTTGATAACCACATCTACCCAATCAGTTGGTCGGGTAGATCAAATATATATAATAATATTAATATTGTAACCCTTCCAAATATCTATTAGTTCGAGGCGAAGGCGGTGGGAAGATTGTGCCTGCTGATTCAAATACAGTGACTCCTCTTATCCCCGCTCTTCACCCAAACACATATGAGTGCATTTGATATATGATATTCTGAGTTGGCTTATAATCTCACATGCATCCAATTTTAAGGGACATTGGCCAACGAATTTAAATTCAGTACAACAGGTTGGCGTATTTGTTTTTCACCGTTTATTGTAATTGGGCATAGCCTGATGAAAACGTGGCACGGATAAAAATGTTGTCAACCCTCCTTATAGTCACACGGTCAGGAACAATGTAATTATGATTGTGTGCTTATAAAGAGGTTTAGGGGTGACTATAAGAAGGGTTGATTGTATAACAAATAATTGTGCGATGGGAATTTTTGCTGAATAGTGGATAATAATAGGAAAATAAGTCTACCAAAAGATAATCTGTCTATAAGAACAATGGGTAACAATGATGCAAAATACAAACTTACTGCTTTTTGCAAAGAGAGAGTTTGACAATCACACAGCCACTTAATAAAGTGATACTAGCACGTTGCCAAATATGGGACTGGTGGAGCCGACTGGAAATACTTTTTGTCAGCGTGGAGCTTGTGCCCATGTTACAGGTTTGATTGAAACCAAAAAGCTTTTGATAAGCTTCTGATTATAGACGGGAAAATATTCACTTTTATCATTCGTAACTTGAGATCAAAGGTAGGTTAAACTTGCGGAAACTTGTGTGATCAAGGGTCGAACTGACCAGTTGAGCTTGATTCTAGCCAAGAAATGGACTCTTGTACAGAAGATTCGCTAAAGACGGTTGTTCAATCGTTTCTGGGCTTTACTTTGCTGAATTTCTTGTCTTCCGTTATTTGTAAGCAATTCACGGCAAGTTCTTCGATAAAGATCATCATCATGGATTCTGTAAGCGTCGATCTTTAGATCTTCATCCCTAAAATAACTCCTTCCCTTGACTGGTTATTCTTAGACATTCTACGCAAATCTCGACAGTAGAAAACGTGCCCTGTGGGATAACACTGTCGTTAGTTATGTACATGCTTTCATGTGTTCAATCTTGGCTCCATTATGGTGAGCGGAAATTCGTTAGATATCTCTATCTATACGGTTTTAGCCATAACTAACATCTCGCTCTATAGTTTTTATATGTATCCACATGCATGGCATGATATGATTTATCCACATGCTCCATTATGCAATACACAGATTGCTCTTTCTACTGGTGAGTAGACGAAAGCAGTTGTACATTCTCCCGGATATTATATGTTGAACATCTCATGTTCCGTATTGTAGGGTATTTCTTCGCCGACATGTTTGACTTTTGGGCCAAAAATATTTTCATGAACGACATATCAATCTGGGTGCATCACGTAGTGGTAAATTTCCAAATTCTGTTTTGGAGGAGGGATGGGAGTTTCGCTTAGATACCATTATATACTCACTTTAATCCCTGATATTTGAAATTCAAGGTCACAATAACGTTCCTCTCAGCAGTTGCAACTTGCAAATTCACGCCGTATCTAACTGCGACACTCTTGGTAGAGATTACGAACGTGTTTATGCATCAACGCAAATTATACCTTATCGCTTACCGCACGAAAGCCACGCGATTTTTCAAGATCAACTCGTTTTTGCTGTTTCTATCCACAATCTTTATTCGTATCGCAGTACATCTCTATCTACTTGTGCATGTTTGGCAAGGATACAAGAATTTCGAGTCAATGATATACTGGCAGATAGCATTCTTGGGCATGTTGGTAATGAACTTTTTGAATATACAACTATTCAGGCAGTTTTGGCAATCCGATTGGTATGGCTCGGGTGAGAAGGTAAAGAACATATGAGGGCAAGGGCGTAGAAAGAAGAATGGATAAAGTTGTATACGAACTTTAGAAATAAAAGCTTTATTACAAGGTACTTTATAAATTCGGAAGTGATCATTGTCGTTTTGTGTGACAAACCAACCCAAATTGACCATCTCGCCCTTTGCCAAGAGGCAAAGGACGAGTCGTTTTCAGTTCAAAAAAAGTCTGGAGAAATACTTGTATCTCTCAAGCCTAATATATTTGGTAACATATACGGGAAATTTGTCAAATCAAGGGTTTCATTTCCAAGATAGCAGCTTTCATTAAGTAAAAAGTAATTGTAGGTGAGCCATTATATTTTGGATTCAAAGACTGAACAATATGAATATGAAGAACATCCGATGGGAATGTGACGGACGATATTGAGAATTTTGCAGTTTTCCCTAAAAATTGTGGAAGCCAAGATTTCTTCCACGCGACAACGCCACCTTACGAGTTTCATTTCGTTAATATCGATATGATTAATTTTTAATTCGTTACATTACTTTTGGGTCAGTCGTGCATGCACGCGTTATTCAAAAGGGCCCAGTTCGCGTAGATGTGAAAAACATCAACTATACTTATGTTTCGATACGACCACAACGATACAGACTTTTTTCTGACATTGTGTCGCGGGATGTGGCACATAATGGGAGACTCGCGAAATAAGTTATGAAAATAATGAATATGCAACGTCCAAGGCATTGGTTAAAGTTATTGATCCGACACGACTTTCCATATAAGGACTAGCACAAATTCTGACCAATGATATGTTGACGAATCTTGAATGCATAGTACAGTATATTCGCCGATCCTTTCGGTTGTCTATACTCAGTCATGGTGAATTACATAGTATCAACAAAAGCATACACGAAGATTCTCCTCCACGCAACCAAGCATCCAGCCTCAACTGTTAGCGGTCTTCTCACTTCGGTATCTTCTCCTGCTGATGGCACAATAACCATATCCGATGCTATCCCTCTACTTCATCATTGGGATACATTAACACCAATGCTCGAAGTCGGACTACATCAGGTACGGTCAAGGGCTTCTTGGATTGATTGATATTTATTACGTCTAGATCTTTATTCAATCACGATTGTCTGTGTCAGGCAGAGATCTATGCACAAAAAAAGGAATTGCAAATTGTCGGGTACTATCAAGCGAACGAGGTTGACTCTGATAAAAATTTGACTTCTACTGGAGCCAAGGTCGCGGGGAAAATCAAAGACATATACGGGGATGCTATTGTATTCGTGGTAATGTTTTAAAGAAGCGCGTTCGTATAGCTTAACAGATGGGTATCGGGAAGACTTAGTTTTTGCTTTACATGTTCATGTTAGGTGAACAATACAAAGCTATCTCTGACAAAGCCGGAAATTGCCATTCTAGTAAGTCTATATTTTTGCTAGTCACTTTTGCTATTGCTATCCATTAACCGTTTGTAAATGTACTTTCTGGAACTGTAGCCTTATATTCATAAAGAAAACCAGTGGCGCCCGGTAAACAAGTCGTTTGACGATCCCTCGTCATCTTTCAATCTCGATGACCCGAATGCTATCAACATAGCTGCCAAGGCAATCGCTGATGGGCAGAGTCAGAATATATATGATTTTGATGAACATTTAGAGGACGTAGGATTGGATTGGCTGGGAAATGGACTCGTCTCGATATAACAACCATTTCTAAGGGGACTGTACTTTGTATACGCCATACTCCTTTTTTAAAGTAATAGTGGTGATATGTTATTATGATAATAAATAGACATTCAATCTAGTTGCCATACAGCAAATTACAATTATAGTGAATCAATGCGCATTTGAGAAATCAAACCGAACCGGACCGTTATCGTATAACGGTATTAAACTTCCCTAAGATGAAGATATAACAGAATTTTTTCATTATTACATAACGAGAATACGTAATTCCAAGTCTTCCGAGCATTTCAGCAATAAGAACGTTGTCATTTACCATGCATTTGTCATGTACTTTTGCACAGCAATCAATGCTTGATAACGGACTTCTGGATCTTCATGTGTCATCATAGCCATAACTCGTTGCTTGGCTCCAACCTCTTGAAGAAATCTACGCAAGACGACCGGTCAACACACTGTGCATACAAAATTTATGATTCGACGTCAAGTAAAATTTTCTTACTTCTTTCCTTTCGGGCAATACTTCACATATTGTCCAAGATCATGAGCCGACACAGCTAATACTAGAGTATCAGAAGATGTGACCAGTTGGTGGACGAGGATCCTATCGCCAGTAGTAGCATGTTTAAATTGCATTCATTTAGAATTGGATGCAAGATTGAAATGACCATTATAGAAAGTCATGCACCAAAAAATAGCAGCCTGCACTGGAGTTACCTTAGCAGTTCATAATCGTTTTCATTTAACCTGTGCGCGTTTTGTCTCCAGAATTGTTCAGATTCATGAGCCGGTGACCATTGGAGCTTTCCGGAACGAAGTTCAGATGCATATTCATCGAACGTTCTATTAAAAGAAGAGAATCAATCTACCACGATAAGCAAATAACACCAAAAGATTTGTCGTGTGCATACGTTAGACTCTGGAAATTGTTTTGAAGTTCAACTTTCAAATATGCAATATCTTCTTGAATCTCACTGTCCGACCATTTACGGCTTGATAAATTCTCGCAGAAATTGAGCAGTTTAGCAACCAACATTGCCGGAAGATTAGCTTCGGGAGCTTTTTCTACCAGATTCTTGTGTGAAATCAACGTTAGTAACATGTTCTCACTATAGACGGGTTTAAAATACACGTTCCACTCACCCTAAACGTGCCAATGATTACTCTAATAATTTTCTCTTTGATTGCACTCTTGGCAATATCAACTAATTTTGGAATTAAGTCATAGTTCCTGATTTTGTAAAAAACATTAAACATACGTTATTTTTGCAATGAAAGTCAGACTACTTTGCTTACGTGTTGAATTCACTCGCTATTTTCTTTTCAAAAGTCAATAGCCAGAAACAAAAGATTATCTGATATTGCATTTGTGGTGTAGGATTCTTGCTTTTCAAAAGATACACTAACCTACAGGGTAGTATTAAATGGTCAACTCGATTCGTCATACATTTCGAATGATCAGAGTAAATACGTACGCGTCAACCGAATCGAGTGATTCCCAGAACTGGAATCTGTAATCCGGCACACGTAGGATAGATTCCAACATTTGCACTGCAAGATCGTATATGTTTGGGTCGCTACTCTTTAGTCTCGTATAGATCCATTGGAAGAATTCGTCAACGTTCGACGATGAAGGTTTTGTTGTTGAACTACATAACCAATGTCAACGGTGGGTTAATTCTCCGATCAATACAGCAAAAGTAAACAAATTAAATATAAAGTGCATAGTAGTGATCAACAGATTCATATTACCAGACCAAAAGAGTCAAGATTTTTGCTGCTGCTAATTGGACAAATTCATCATCCGTATCCAGACGTCTGTCAGGTAACAAAAGTTGATAAGTCAGAAATTTTTCAGAACAAAAAGAATCAAAAGAAAAGGCATATACTCATACTTCAGAAATACTCTATAAGGAAGTTCAGGGTCTTGTTTGCTTAAATCATGGAAATGTATTACTCGTCCTTCATTGTCTATTTACAACGAATAACAGAGTACATGTGTGGAGACTATAAGTAAGATTAAATAAGCTGCCAGTCTAATCTGAAAGCCTCAAGCGTAAAGATCAAACAAATACTTGGCAGAAAATTGCTCACCAGCCAGCATGTCTCCCACTAAAACCAAAACGTACTGCACGGTATCAATTCTTACAGACTTTTCCAATAAATTGGTATACAATACAGCATATTTGTCTCCATCCTAAACCAGCAGTATGTTATACCAATGTTAATTCTGAGAAAGGGGATGATAAAATTTCATACAAGACGCTGATGAATTGACGAAAAATACCCTTTCCATAACATCGTTGACTTGTTCTTTGCTCTGCTTATCGACAGCTTTAATGAGGTCGAGTTCTTCTTGAGTAATAATTCCTGCACGATGATAACCCTAATTAACAGATAGTGAATCACTCGTTATACATAAGAAAATTCCCGTCTAGAAGTTACTTCTGATAATTGCTTGCATACCTCCCACGGAATGGGCCTGGATCTCATGTTAGCAGTAAGGTCATCCAAGTACGCATTGGATACAAAGACAATTGGTACGTCCGGGACATCGTTCAGGGAGTCGGTCATGATCAGGTAGCAAGTAACGTACGGATAAAGTGTACAAGAGGCAAAGAAAAACGGATCAGATCAGGGAGTCGCCATCTCAAATAATCATCAAAGATCGACAAAATCGATATAAAGAGATTGATTTGTGAAACTTTTACAGAATTTAGTATTAGTTATGGTTTCACACAATCACGCTATTGACAGAACAAACCTATTACTATATAAAATTTAATTCATTATTTTAAATAATGTACTCGATCTTTCTTACATATTCAAACTCTCTCTGGCAATATTAATAGCAGATAGGTAAACTTCTGGTTTCTGTTTAAGATCGACCACATCGACAACGTCGTGCACCAATTTTATTTCAGAATCTTATTAACTCAACTCATGTCGAGCATATCATTGTATTAATTAAACCCCTTGAATAAAACTCGTGTAAGACTGTTTTATTCAAAATTTTGAGTCACTAAATTATAGGACAATGAACGAGGTTAATATTGCAAATTGACTGTATTTACACCAACACCAATTTTTGTCTTTATACCTGCAGCTGAATCCAAATCATAACTGTTTCTCGGTTTAGGCAGATCTTCAGTAGGTAAGAGTTTACTAGAATATTTACTCTCCTTCTCGAGACGTGATAAGGGTTTTACATCATTATGATAAACGGCATTCCATATGTCAGAATTGTCGTTTTTCATCTTATAAATAAGCATGTCAATATCACAATAAAGTGTGTCTGCATCTGGACGCTTATCAGGATCAGCATCACAACACCGCTCGGCAAGTTTCTTGTATTCCTCTG